ATTATATAAAGTTATTTGAATGCATGAATTTTTATATTTAGATTTAAGTTTTCCTTTCTTATATGGTAAAACAAGGTTTGGTGATTGTATCGATGATGAATGGTTCATCGTTTTTTTGTTGAAACATATATCGATGAAATTTCAAGATGTTGTTGTGAGGTACTTTTTTTAATACACTTTTTAGGTTTTAGGTTTCAACCTAGTTTAAAGGCTAATAAATCATTTCATTTATAGCGTCTCCGATAATGATGGTGAATTTTTGTTAATCGAAGCTGCTATACAACTACCCTCATGGTTGAATCCAAGTAATAGCGAAAATAGGGTGAGATTTTATATTCCAATTAGTAGTTGTTTGCAAAGATTTTATTACATAATTTTATGTTATATCAAAAATTTGTTAGGTTTTTATATATCAAGATCAATTACATATAATCCCTTTGCCAAAAACATCTACCGAAATTGCTCATATTCCAACTGGAAAATTATCTGTTGAAAAAGCGATTCAGTTGGTACGCAATGACGCTGTTGATACTAAAGCTGATAATAAGGTGCAACAAGCCGTATTTTCAAAGACTTTAGGGTGAGCGATTTGATAAATTGATTATAGCAATCTAAATATTCTGTTTACACTTTTGATCTATTGTTATATAATATGATTAATGATTTAATATAACAGGTATCCAGAAAAGATTAATCAAAATTTTCATTATGCGCGATGTAATATTCCGAGAGCCATAGCTCATGTCTTGTATCATGATCCTCAACTTGTTGCTCCGGCTGTTGAAGCATTTTATACACGAGATCCTATTGCATTAAAAGTTTGTATATTTTTTAATAATTTATCCATATAATATTGTTTCCATTTAAAATATATTTATTTTATAGTCATGTCGAAAAATGCAAAAATTTCCTCCATATACATCAATTACTGTCAGCGTAAAATTTACAAAAACTTTATATGCTCAAATTGTAAGTCAACAATTTAACGCTCCACAACCCTTTATAATGCCAATAAGTACTTCTAAAAAGTATCCTGCTGCCGAGCTAGGAATGAAATTGGTTAGTTCGCATACTTAATATATTTATTGAAGTTTACAACAATTCCTTTTTGTGCTTTAGAATAACATAAACGTATTTTAATGTTTTGAAATAAATTTATTGGTGATATCAGGCATGCGGATTTGAAATTCTTTGTAACGATAAATATTACACGAATTTATCATCTAAACCTAATAAATTGAATATTGAGGTGATTCTGCCTTCATTTCTTGTTGATTTATTATTGTTTACGATTATTATCTATTTATCATTATGTTTAATATTATAGACCTATCCATTTGATTCTGATCCTTCATGGAAAACATTTCATTCTAATTTGGTCGAGCAGAATTATTATCACGATGAATTACCAGATTCTATTTTATATAAACAGCTGGAAAAAATTGCCAAAGAGCAATTTTTAAAATATCAAAGTCAGGTCGATTTGTTGTAAGTTTAATTTTAAATTTTAATTCTTAATATCTATTTATTTGCATTAATTTGGTAAATTTTCGTATTAGAGATGATTCAGAAAATTCATCTCCATTAGAACAAATAGATGAAATATTGAACTTGCCTATTGTTCCTGATGAAGCGTTGATGTCAGATACTAAACAAGATGATGATTCTTGGCTCAATGTTGATCCAAAACAATTGGATGAGTTGCTTAATGCAACTAATAAAGGATTCGAAGAGATTCAAAGCGAAGTAGGTTCAAACTTGTTTCTGCGCATTTGGAAATTCTCATGTATTTATCGTTTCATTTTGATAATATAATAATAGTCCGATGATGAACTAAATCCTATTGATTTGACCAACATGATTGATACGTTTGAAAAGTTTCTTGATTTTGAAGGCGCAAGTATTGAAGGTGCAGAGTTTCCGGGGTGAGTTTACTTGAAATTTTTTTAAAACATGTTATATGACATTTGGACAAATTTAATTATAATCTAATTATTAGTGAGCATATATCTGACGAGGATGATGATGAGGATGATGAAAATATATATAAGGATGATTATTCAGATGTAAAAGTTGATCCAACTGAATTTTTAAGAATAATGAGACAAACTTTGGGTAATGATTTGATTATATATATTAATCCATAAACATCTTAATCATTAAACAAACATGTAAAATGTTTTTATAGGCATTTCTGAGCAAGAATATAGGGAATTAGCAAATGAGAAAATAAGGCAGGAATCTGATAAGTTTACAAGTATGTTAATTTACAATCTATTATTATATATGGCAACATAATTTTATATAACAAATTATTCTATATTTTCAGCGGAGTTTGTGGATCAATCAGGGTCAACATCCTCTCAACAATTCCCTGAATCATTACCTGAAAAAATAATAGAATTAAATAACAATCTTGATATGGTTGCATACATGCAGGCATTAGATGCTGAACTATCATCATCAAAAATTTCTGGATCATTTATAAAAACACCTCAAGAGATCTTGAATCAATCATCATCAGAAGATAAAATAAACAATTATGAATATGATGATGATGAATTAAATGAACCAGTTAATATTGATTTAAATCTTGCTAAAAACTTTTTGGAAAGCTTTAAATCACAGGAAGGACTACCTGGACCAGTTGGAAATATATTTGGAAGAATGGGAATGGGGGCAATACCAAGGGATGATGATGATGATGGTAATAATAATAATGAAGCTACTGGATAACAATATCAATATTTAAAGAATACATATGTATTGTTTACTGCTAATTTAAAGTAAAAGTGGATGGTAGAGAACATCCTTTTTATGTGAAAATAAAAATGATACAGAGCAAAATAATAATTCTGGCTGATAAAGCTAATTGATTGATTTAGTCGATTGGTTTTTTTTTCCAACCAACCGATAGACTAAGTTTTTCGATTGGATTAAGTACGCGGAAATCACGGTATAAACAAAACCAGTAATCAAATTTTGTATACGAGTCACCTACCTTTTGCGTTCTAATAAAAAAAAAACACTTGATAATATTACAACCGTATTTTGCGTTATTTCGCGACGCACATGTGTGATATTTCAAATAATTTTTATACAGAACAAATAGATTCGATAACAGAGACGTACATGGGCGTTATTTTGAGTCAAATATACAAATTATCAAAAAGTGAAAATGGGATGCCGTGAACGAAGTCACGGAGCATCCATTTGTCACGAGATCATGACGTCTAATGAGCAAGGGTAAGTAGTGATGAATTTGGCTGATTAATAAGTAATGAGGTATCGATGAGATAACTGATTAGTGATGAGTGTCGAGTTTGATAGAATAAGTGATGGTAAACATGAGGTCATGGTAAATGACTATTTAAGGGTTTTTGGATCGGGAAGTGGTTCTTCCTCTTTTGTCTTTGCTGCTAGCTCGACGAAAGTCTAGCTTTGTCGTTAGTGCCCACCCACCCGCCATCAGGCAAAGGAGGGGGTGTTTGGTGGTTATGGGTATATCGATAGCCCGGATGGACAACCCGGATATCGAAGATAAATACTTTGATAGCCCGACTGAACAGCTCGGATATCAAATAAGAGAATAGAGTAGGATAGACCAACGATGCTAGGAAATAG